GCGACGGCGACTACTACTATGTACTACTACTACCCGCATACTACTACTACTACTACTACTACTACTACTATTACTACTACTACTACTACTACTACTACTACTACTTCTGCTACTACTACCACTACTACTACTGCTGCTGCTACCACTACTACTACTACTACTACTACTAGTACTACTACCAGTACTAGTACTAGTACTAGTAGTGCTTCTTTACCTTAAAGTCTCCATGTAAGAGTCGCAGGCGCGGGCCGCCGAATGCGATGTGCGACGGGACCTCCAGGGGCATGCGCAGCGGTCATGGAGCCAGGCGCTAGTTCTCAGTTTGGGCTTCGGGGTTGAGTGATCTTTGGTGTCTAGGTTGACGGAATGAGGGCTTTTTCGGCCGAAGACGAAACCCTAAACCCTAAACCCAAAGCCCTAGACCTTAAACCCTAAGCCCTAAACCCTAGATCCTAAGCCCTAAGCCCTAAGCCCTCAACCCGAACCCTGGGCCCTAAACCCTAAAGCCTAAACCCCTAAGCCCTACACCCTAGGCCCTAAACCCTAAACCCCGAAACCCCTAAACCCTTAACCCTTAGTTAAACCCGTAAACCTAAACCCGACACCCCTAAACCCCTAAACCTAACCCCTAAACCCGAAACCCCTAAACCCTAAACCCTTAATTAAACCCGTAAACCTAAACCCTACACCCCTAAACCCCCAAAACCTAACCCCTAAACCCGAAGCCCCTAAACCCTAAACCCCTAAACCCCTAACTACACCTTTAAACCCCTAAACCTAACCCGTAAGCCCGAAACCCCTAAACCCTAAACCCCTAAACCCTAAGCCCTAAGCCCTAAGCCCTAAGCCCTCAACCTTAACCCCTAAACCCGAAGCCCTAAGCCCTTAGCCCTAAACCCTAAATCCTAAGCCCTAAGCCCAAACCCTAAAACCGAAAACATCAGGGAGTTTCCGAAAATTGGGGTACCTTGTTTTGGGGTCCTTACAATAAGGATCCTACTATTGGGGTACCCTAAACCCTAAACCCTAAACCCTTAAACCCTAAACCTCGCCTGCACATAGAACTCTAAACCTTAATGGTCTTACGCGGGATTTGCCTTCTAAACCTTAATGCTTTTCGTGGGATTTGCCTCTAAACCTTAATGGTTTTCGTGGGATTTGCTCTTTTTCGGCCTTTCGGCATTTCTCGTGGGACGGTGCCTCTAAACCTTAATGGCTTTCGTGGGATTTGCCCTTTTTCCGTT